TCATGGAGTGCTTTGAGTGGAGTGCCATACGTCCTCTTTTTTATTTTCATGGAGTGCCATACGTCCTCTTTTTTATTTTATTTCTTTTTTGGAATAATAGAGATTGTAATGTAAGGTAACGAATAGTAGAATGGAGTGTAATTTGGAATGGTAGATTGGAATGTATTTCTCTGGTCTGGGGACAGGGGAGATAACTTTGCACAGGCAATCGCCCAGTTTCAAAGAAGAAGATGCTGTAAGGTTGTCTCCGTGCTTGAGAGGAGACGGATGGTGCGTAATGGGAGGGTCTCAGTTAATTACTTTCAGCATTCCACAATTAAGGATACAGCTGCCCATCAGTCTCCAATTTTGACATATTTATTTCCTTCACTCCCCGCCCCCTGGAATTAAACCCAGTTATTCCTGATTGGTACTTGAATCTGTTAAACCTCTTCATTATGCAAGGTAAACTTGTTATTCCTGTTTGGTACTTGAATCTGTTAAACATCTTCATTATGCTCTGTGCTCATTTACAGCACACCCTCTACCTGTATGTATGGACTGGTAACTTCCATTTCATTGTATCTGAAGACATGTTCATGCACATGAATGCTTACACCTGAGAGCCAGTTTGGTGTAGTGGTTAGGAGCACGGACTTTAATATGGGAGAACCGGGTTTGATTCCCCACTCCTCCTCCACTTGCACCTGGCTGGATGACTTTGGGCAAGCCCTAGTTCTGATAAGAGCTGTCCTTGAAAGGGCAGTTTTGAAAAGAGCTCTCTCAGCCCCACCTACCTCACTGGGTGTCTGTTGTGGGGAGGGGAAGGGAAAAGAGTTTGTAAACTGCTCTGAGACTCCTTTGGGTAGTGAAGGGCGGGGTATAAATCCAATCTCCTCTTCTTCTACCTTGAATAAAACTTTGTTGGTCTTAAAGGGGCCACTGGACTCAAACTTTAAAGAAATTCTGTTCGCCTACACATGGGTCACACATGAATTTAGAGACAGACAAGCTTGGGGAAATGTTGTAGGCTTGTGAGTTGGTGGATTTATTTTAAAGGCTGGATAAAAGGACATCGGGCTGCGGTGGCTCAAGTGGTTAAGAGTGGTGCCTAAAACTGGACCTTGATAGACCAAGGGCTGGATTCAGTAGAAGGCAGCTTTGGTGTGTCCACTGCTGTGGAAGGCTGTATTGAGGGTTGTCCCAGCATAGCACAAGCAGAGGAGGAGAACATAAGAGAAGCCAATGTTGCAGGCCGGAAGGTCGGTAGTTCAAGGCCCGAGTGCCTGACGGAGTGAGCTCTGGTCTCTAGTTCCAGCTCCTGCCAACCTAGCAGTCTGAAAGCAAGGAATTGCAAGTAGATAAACAGACACCACTTTGCTCTGCGTTTAGTCATGCTGGCCACATGACCACGGAAATGTCTTCGGACAGCGCTGGCTCTTCGGCTTTGAAACAGAGATGAGCGCCCCATCTCTAGAGGCAGATTTGACTGGCTTTCGAGC